AGACATACCGATGTGCCACTTGGGGGGCTTGCAGGTTCCAACCAGGGATATAGAGAATTTTTTAATTTTTTGTATTTTGCTCAATTTGTCAGCAAGGAACCACAATTTGAGGGTTTTCGTGAACTATTCATGAATATATCAACCATCTTACAAGAGATTTGGTTCCAAGATACCTCCTTGCAGGTCCCAAGCAATAATATAGATATTTTTAGATTTTTCTGTGTTCTCATGATTTTCCGGTATCAAAATTGGCCATGTTGGGATTGCGAATGTTGTCCTCTTTAATTGATTTAATGCCTTTGTTATGAAGTAATACGAAATGGTTTGAAGAGTTCTATATGACAACAACTGTAGTATTTTTTATGTTTAAACTCTCATGGTTCTTTCTGACTGATATATCGTGTTTTATTATTATGTAATAATCATAATATTCTATATGTCTAGAATTTATTCATTTATCAATGTAAGAATCCTAACGTTCTCTATATCTGGAATTTATTGGTTTATTACTGTAACAATGGAAACGTTCTTTATGTCTGGAATTTCTTGTTTTATTACTTAAATTACCAACAGGAAAAAAATTATCTTTAAAAAAAATAATAATGATCATGGTTCTAAAGAAAATAAATGATAAATGAACGAAATTAAGGTTTAAAGTTAGAATAAGAATAATTAATAAGAAAAATGTGTCAATACAATTTATAATTATGTATTAGAAATTTATAATCAAATTTCAATAAGTTTGTAACACAAATAAATACCTGCTGAATATAAAAGGATATGACATTATTAATGCCATATTTTCATTCGTTGTTGATAATTTAAAACAAAACTAAAAATGCTGAGAAATACATTAATATTACGTAGCAAACCCTAAAAAAAACACATATTTTCAATACTACAAAACCAATAAAGAGACTTGAGATAGTTATTCTTTTTTTTTCTGAAAAAGTGTCCTGTTTCTTCCCATTTTACGACTTCAACAATAGAGTGTTGAGTGGGACGTGTTAAAGTGAATTTCTCGTTCTATTATGATTGGTTTTTCTGCGGGTTTTCAATCACCTGCCCAATCACAGCAAAGAGAATACCTGGAGGCAGGAATTGAAAAGCTACGAAGAAGTAACTGTGCAGTCCCTTTCTCGAGCAGGTGTGCTCTGTGTTGTATGTCACGAGTGTAATCTGTTTCACAATGACCATGGTGAACGGTATGAGCAGCTCCACTAATCCCGGCGGTTGCGGGCCGGGAAGCGAAAACAAAGATCACATCAAGCGGCCCATGAATGCTTTCATGGTCTGGTCCCGCGCCCAGCGCCGTAAAATTGCTTTGGATAATCCGAAGATGCACAACTCCGAAATTAGCAAGAGACTGGGAGCAGACTGGAAACAACTATCCGAGAATGAAAAGCGGCCTTTCATCGATGAAGCCAAGCGGCTGAGAGAGCAACACATGCGGGAGCACCCTGACTACAAGTACCGGCCACGCAGGAAGCTCAAGACACAGGTAAATAATCCAGAAAATTACCCGTTTTCTCTATCCTACCTTCCAGAACACATAGATCCGCGAGCTTACATTGCTTCTGCGACCATGCAACACGCAGCTACTGGCTATTCAGAAAAGCAGCAGATGGCAGCAGCCGCCATGCAAACTCCATCTTTCTCTCCTTACTCCATTGGTGCTTCGATTTGTACACCTCTGACACTTTCCGAATCTGCGTCCAATTTTGCTAAGATTAACACTGGCACTGTACAACCCCAGAATGCTATCTACAAAAATGAACCCATAGTTAGCAATTCAACAAGGTCAGCCGCTGGTTCCATCTATGGGTCAACAGGATTCTACCCACCACGACTATCAATTTTGAACTCTCCGATGAACGGTGTGTCGAACAGTCAGGTTTCAGCTCCCTACGCTGAATCAGGTTATGTGTCAACTTATGGCTATGGTTTGGCAGGGTATGCCCCATCAAATGATTCGCAACGTCGAAATCTCTCACCATTGTTCTAGACTGTATTATATAAAGTTATCCATCTTCCTCTGACTTGTAATAGCAACTACGTGGTGGACCGGAAAGTCACTCCTTGTGCAACAGAAATGATTGCATCTTCCGAATGAAGCACGTGCAAGATTCTCTCCATTGTACCTACTGAAGTATGGATAAATGTCAGTAGTTACGTTATATAATTAATAAATTACGAAAAAGTAATAAATATACTGTTAATATTTCTTACGGTGCTACATTTTGGTTTCATGTGCCATTATTTCACAGGGGAAACTAATTATTCCCGTTCATACTACGTTACTCCCCAGGTAGGTATCTATAACAGATGGCATACTCCCAACAGATTAATAAGAGTTTTACGTTTAAACTGTTACCTTCTCAACCTTAAATGTACCTGAAAAAAGACAAGTTTGAGCACAGTCTATGGAAAAGTGATTGTATATAACTATAAGTTACTTACATTAATTAGAAAATGTTTAAAATATACATGATTTTCCGAGTATTGCTTCTGGAATCGTAAATGTGTATCAGTATGTTGTATTTTGATGTTCTCATAAAAGCCAAAGATTGTGATAATTAATTGGAAAACGAGTTATCGCTCTAATTACGTATATACATGTATGCACGTGATATATATACTGTTTGCACGTATAAAAGGTGATCACAACATATTTTTTGTATATAGTTGATTTGTATATTTGTTCATTATTTGATGTGATTATACGCGTAATTTGCCTTGTTTCAAAATTGTACATCAATAAAGTGAGCATGTTGTACGTTTGAAAACATTGTTATTATATTGACTGTTTCTTTGTGGGAGAAACACACACATAAGATGATAACTGATATATTACAATATTCATTGTTGCATTCAAAAATCTATACCAGCCCATAGCGTAATTTTTAAAACGTATTAATATTTTCCATAGATAGCTTCAAATTTGAAGGATCGCTATAAATATCATTAGTTAATTCAGCAATTTCTTCTGCAAGAAGAATATTTAACAAGAAACAAATAAAATAAAACAAGAGCGTTTTACGAAAGCGTCAGTGATTTACCTTAATTTTTCTGTTTATTCATACATGAATCCATAACAATCTACCATAGTTTATATTGTTTGATAATAGCCAGACAGAAGAGAAATCATGATTTAAAGAAATCCGCTAACTCGACAACTTTTAGAAATGAGACTGGTCTTTGGAAAGAACTTTCTTCGATTTGTGAAATTTTTCACTCCACATACTCTTTTATATTATGTGTCAGTTCAGTTAAGATACATCACAAGACATTTAAGAATATCTAAATGGGCCTTTTAATTCAGACAAAGGTAATAAACTACGAATGTTTTCTCAATTGCAGTATATTCACATTCAACATATCAAAGAGCTGTAAACGTGACTTACGCATATAATCCAAGTTTGTACTGAAGAGTGAAAATGGCAATATAACAGCAATGTAAATCATTTAAATAAAAGTAAGCTGAATGTATCTATTAGTGTGGCCTACAAATTCAAGCTTCTATTTAAATGTTATCAGAAAAGAATGGATTTTATTTACAGTGAAACAATGGAAAACATTGATTACATCAAATATATATATGTATATATATACAGACTGTGTCTTCCATGGGAACTTTACACTTAAGGACTCGCACAAGTAGTATTAGTAAAACTTGGTATATAAAAACTATTAAATATACTAAAGTCATGCAGTGAGCCATTATGATTTTAATATGACATATTTTAGCGGATGTAGTAGCTCGCCGAGATTTTATTTCGATAACACTTCTTTGGTAAAATCACTCATCGCTCAATTAACAGGCATTGTTTAAGGGTTTTAAACTGAATGTTTCATTAGGTCGGCTTTGCTTATTTATGAATTTTGATATAACTTAAGATATGTTATGTACAGAAGGCCTATATACAGAACTATTGTGCACGATAGATAAACGCAGGAATCACGAAATATTTTTACAGTTAATAAAATGCAAGTAGCTATTTAGAGATTTAAATCATGACAGAATTGCACCACGATAGATAAAGAATATCAAAAAAGAGTATCGAAAAGCCATTTTATTCGCTTTTATAAAACAGTTAGCAAGAGAATCCGCCTCCGTGGTAAGAGTAATATCGTGGATATACAGACTGTAAGTAGCTTTTGAACATAACGAAATTAAGTAATGTTACAACAGCGAAAGTCACGTGACTCTGGTAACACGTCATGAGTTTCTAGAAGGATCAAGACTTTTCCTGGCAACTCTAGTCTTTTCTAGGCGCCCTCTATTTTAGTATATAAGCCCGGCAAATAAAGCGGAGATAATAATTGCAGATAGAGAGATATAGAGACAGATAACTGAGTCAAGCGAGCGGTAGTGACCTTAAGTAAAGTGCGCGAATCGTTGTGAATTATAGCATGTGTTTAAGTTAAAGTTACTGTGAAAATTAAGTGTATTGCAATATTGTATTGAGAAAGAATAAACTAGTTTTATTTAAGAAAGGACTTGCATCGCTGAAGTTCTTTGGAAATAATTTTTACGGGAAATTAACAAACAAACAGAGATGTTCTAGCGTCTAAGAACTGCTGTAGTCTCTCTTCTTGTTTCTTTTCTCGTTCTTCTTGTTTATTTTCTTTTTCCTCCAACAACTGCTATAATCTCTCTTGTTTATTTTGCTGTTCGAGCTGCACTGTTGCAGGTTTTCTTACCACTGCTATTATCTCTTTTCTTGTTTCTTTTCTTTTTTCTCTAGCGTCTAAGAACTGCTGTAGTCTCTCTTCTTGTTTCTTTTCTTGTTTTTTTTTCAACCCACTTCTGACACCAATTTGTTGAAAAAGAAAAGAAACAAGAAGAGAGACAACGGCAGTGGCAAGTAAACCTGCAACAGTGGCAGCTCGAACAGCAAAATAAACAAGAGAGACTACAGCAGTGGTTGAAGGAGAAAGAAAATGAACAAGAAGAAAGTCTCCAACAGTTGAGAGAAAGCCAGCACACACAAACGGAAAAGATTAGTAAATTTCAAAGTGAATTAAATACATTAAAGGATGGTTCACTGTCTTTTACACAAGGAGGATATATTAGCCATGGACCTAATCAGCCTCAGACAACGGGAAACCCCTTCCAGTCCCACAGCTAAACCCTAATGCATATATCTTCAGTCCTATCAGAAGTCACATTCCAGACATCAGTGTCAGCAATAGTGGTGATCTAATACGAAGGAAGCCACAGGAATTCTATGGGAAAGCACCATGGGAGGCATATAGAGCACAATTTGAGCTCTTGGCAAAAATGAATGGATGGACAGAGGAGCAGAAAGCAGTGTGTGATTGGCCAACACCAGACAATGTGGGAGAGTTAAGAAGTTTCTTGGGACTCTGTACCTATTACCTGAAGTTTGCAACTATAGCTGCTCCACTACATGATTTAACAAAAAAAGGCCAGAAGTTTGAATGGACAGTTTCTTGCCAGCATGCTTTCAAGACACTGAAAGAAAAATTGGCCTCAGCTCTATTTTTAAAGCTTTCAAATCACTCACTGCGTACATACTGGATTGTGATGCTAGTAATGTCGGAATTGGAGGAGTTTTGTCTCAGAAAGTGGGTGAAAACGAACAT